CAGCTCACCCCAAAGTTTGGGGTCAGGGAGGGACATGCAACACAGAGACCATCCTGAAGTCACAGTGGTGCAGGGAGGACACAGTGAGGGCTTGAGCCAAGGTAGAGGCGCAGCAGGACAGACCAAGGCAGATCCCCAAGTCAGCGGGGAAGGGCTGAGGGGATGTGCAAGAAGAGAGGGGCGTCAAGAACCCTTGCAGGCTTCCAGCTTGGTAAGGAGCATGGCAGGCCCCTTCTCTCTAGATGGTGAGGCCAAAAGGCCCACCCCACCGGCCACCCTGACCCCAGCCCGTCTCTCCTGTCAGTGGCCTGGACTGTCCCCAGCACCAGACACAGGCCACACAGCTCAGCAGCACAGGTCCCTTTTTATTAATCATCCTCCCTGGTCTGAATGTGCACAAGTAGAAAAGAAACAGTAAAATGCCCTGGCAGGGAGGGCAGGGGAAGGGGCTCCTGAGGTTAGGCCAAGGGGCCAGATTGCAGCTCCTTTTCCCGACTGGTCCGTTTCTGTGCCATGACTCCCCTTACGTTCCCGCGCCCCTCAACTGAAATCCAACATTAGGAGGCAGTGCAGCCCTGCTGATGGGCCGTCCTCCTAACCTTGTCAGAGATGGACACTGGCGGGCCCCGGTGCTGTGCAATGGACTGAGAAAAAGCGGCCAAGTGGGTCTGGCCCAAGGGGCAGAGAGGGGATGTGAGGAAAGGCAGGTCACCCAGTCTGGGGACTGAGCAGAAGCCAATCTGGCCTCCAGCCAGCCTCTGCTGCTTATCTCACTGCCCTGAGGGCTGGGGTCCCTCTCACCCCCACCCCTCCATTCAGAGGTTTTAGGCAGGAGGGGCCAGGGAAGTGCTGGGTTTTCCAGGCAGAAGCGGTGCCTGGGATTGGCCTAAGTCAGTGGCCAGGTGTTCAAAACAGGAATACAAAGGGGGAAGTAACATCCCTCTTCAACCCTCCTGGGGCTCAACCTAGGTGTGACCTCAGTGTGGACGAAGAGGAGGCCAGGCCTGGAGTATGTGTGGAGCTGACGAAGTGACAAGAGAGAATTTGGCCACCCCCACCCCCATTCATCTCTTAGCAGGAGAGATTGAGCTACACAGGAAAAATGGGGTAGGGGTGAAGAGGTGATAGGGGGAAGAAGCAGACAAGATCCAGATTGGAAGGGAAACTTCCAGGCTGGCATGACCACACTCAGTTGTTGCTCAGTCAGTGACAACTCAGATGCCTTTCTTGTCTCCAGGCTGCCGGGCTCAGGTTGGCGGGAGGGGCACGTGCAAGGCAGAGGGAAGAGAAGCAACCAATGAAAGTGAAGATACCAGACAGATTCACCTTGATCCTCACTAGCCCAGCCCTCATGGGTCTGAGAGGTTCCCAGCCTTCTCCATCACCCACCCTTGTGCCTCAAAAAAGAGGGGCCCACCTGGAATCTGTGAGAGAAAAGCAGACTCCCGCCATGGGGAAAATTAAGGGAGGAGTCCTCACAGCACCGTGGCACGGGACGGCCCTGGCCCCTGGCTCAGAGCTGGGCTGACACCGTTTGTAAACATTAGACTTGTTGATGTCTGGGGATGGAGGAGCAGATGGATGCCTGGACCTTCAGGTCTGGGTAGAGATAGGATGAGGCCTCAGAAGGCTTGGGAAATGTCAATCAGCCATGAGAATGAGGGCTCTTAGGCTCCCTGTGGGCCCAGGAGGCAGTGGACAAGGCATCAATCTACCTGCCTCTGCACAGTTGTATAACTTTAGTACTACCTTTGGAACTTGCCAGAGAAAGTCACTGCTGGTTGGGCTGCCAACGGACAGGAGCAGGCAATGAGTCCTGGGGTGATGAACACAGCCCCTATTCAGGACAGGCTTCTCTGTGGAAGATGGGAGCCCTTGGCCCACACTCTTTCTCCAGAGTGGGTTTCAGGCTGGGTTCTTTCTTCAGAGACCTACTAAACCTCTTCACCCATGGCTTCCAGGCATGGAGAAGTCAACAGTTGGAGGAGGCAGGGGAAGGCTCCTCTGTGACACAAGATCTCTTCCCACCATCCATGGCACTGCCAGGACCAGGGAGCAGGAAGGGAGCTGAGTTTGAGCTGTCCATAAGTGTGGGGCGTAATTTCACCCCAGAACTGTCCCTAGAAAGGATGTTCAGATGTCATCCCACCAGTAGAAGGCAACAATGCCAGACTCTGCAGGGTGGCTCTGCAGCTCTATGAGATGGGTTCCCAGGTCCAATGGCAAATACATGTATTCCCTGGGAGGCAGTGGTTATGCTAAGAGATCCACAAAGATGGCGTTGGCTGTGGTCTGGCCAAAGATGAAGGCTCCCAGAGTGACCAAGAGGACTCCATAACTAACCATCGCCCACCAGCTGTAGAGCAGAGGGTGAGAGAAGGCATGGTTAGTCAACCCACCCATGACTTTGCGGATTTCCATTGACTTCCATATATATATGTATCAGTTAACTACTGTAATTACATATACCACTTCTCCTGTGGGGAGAGCACTTCCTACTTCTCAACGACTTTTCATACAAAGGTATGCAGGGCCAGGTGTAGGATCCCTCAACCATGACCTAATGGGATTAATTGACTGGTCACAGTACACCAAGGGCAGGACCAGAATTAGAATGCATGTCTCCTGACTGAAAGATGGTCAGAAAAAAGCAGGTCATGTGAAATGTGATCCATTTCATTAAAATAAAAGCAACCCACAAGACACTTGCAAATGTATGGATCAAAAATAGCAACAGGGTTATAAATGGGTATTGAGATTAAGGGTGATTTTTATTTTCTTCCTTAGACTTGTCTGTATTTTTTAAGTTTTCTATAATGAATGAGTGTTACTCACAGTATTTTTTTTAAAAGCATGCAACTTGTTCAAAACCTCTCTACTATTAATGCACATATTAAAGTAAAATCGTGTTTTGCATTCATCGGACTAACAAAATTGAAAAACCTGTTATATATAGTGCTAGCAGGGAACAGGGCATTCTGATTCACTGCTGCTGGGACTCTGACTGGTACTGACTTAATTTGAACTCATGTCCAAAGTAAAAATGAGTGTGCCTTGGGATGGAACAGTTTCCTTCTAAGAATCTATCATAACAAGATCCTCAATCAGGTGTGCCACGGTGTATAAGTAGAAGAGTGTTCACACTCAGGACCTGTTCATACAACAAAATATTCTATAGCCACTGAAAATGTAAGTGGATCTTCCTGTGTTGACAATCTATAAGACACATGGTTAAGTGAAAGAAAACAAGTAGCAAAAAAGTGTGTCTGGCATGAAACCATTTTTGAAAGAACCCAACTAGACACAAAGCCCCACGTTTGTGTACACACACGCATAGCTTTGTGTACACAGACACTTATGCACGCACAGAACCAGCCTGCAAGGGCATAGACCGTGCTGATGGCACAGAGCTCTCTCAGGAGAAGGTGAGGAGCAGGCTGTGGGGAAAGAGGGACTTCCAATTTTTTTCTCTAACGTTACAGCTAGCACGTATTAACCACTTTCAAAAACTCATGTTTTGCCAAGTACACAAGTCTCCTGACCCGACCTGTTTAAAGGCCACCACCCATCCAGCACCTCCCTGAGAAGACCACAGGCTGGGCCCTGCTTTACCTGGCTGGCTTGACTTCCTCCATCTCAGAGAGTTTCGCCTGAATGAGGCACAGCCCTGGAAAACAAGAGGTGGTCCCGGAGCTTGGGTGGGCTCCCTCCTGCAATCCAGCCTCCCCCTTGCCAAGAGGCAGTGGTGGTGGACAGACAGAGGCCTGTGTTTACTTCTCCACATATTCCCTCTCTGCTTCCACACCGCACGCAGCTGGAGGCCTGGCATCTGCTCTCCTAGGAGCGGCCCCCATCCGCCAGGCACCCTTTGGGCTGTCTGCAAGACCCGCAGCTAAAGGGGCAGCGCTGGAAGGTGACTCAGTGGTGCCCACACTGCAGGGCTGCCCCTTCCCCAGTGTACCTCAGAGCAGGTGTGGCCCCCCTGCTTCAAGCAAACTGGCAAGGGCTTTCCAGGTTGCTCCCTGGGTAGAAATAAGCTGGGTATAGGCAGAACTCAAGACTGGGCAGATGGGACAATTTCCCAGGGATCTGGTGGCAGACTGTGTCTGAAACTCAGGTCTCCCAACTTCCATGTCAGGGTGTGGCCACTAGACCCTATTACCCTGGAATGGGCTGAACCACCCAGATCCCTGATAGTCAGGGAGGAACAGATACTTGAATGAAGACTTAAAAGCATAGGCTGTGAACTGAGATAGACTTGGGTTTGGAAAAGTTCTGTTCCTCTCCCTTTTCTTTTTTTTTTTTTAGTTTCTGTTCCTCTTTAGTTGAGTTTGTTAACCTCTAGGCAAGCTTGTTACCCTCTCTGAACCTCAGGAGTACTCATCAGTAAAATGGAGATGACAACTCCAGGATTCTGTACAGGAGATAATGCTTAAATGGGTTCCCATGGAGCCTGAAGTGGCTGATCAGTAAATACTGGTGATGATCCTCCCCGGTAGGTGAGCAAGTGAGGAGCTGAGGCCGGGGGGCCCCAGGAGTCAGTGCTGCAGGGGCGCCAGGGGTGCACACCTGGGAAGACGAAGATGAAGCAGGCGGCCAGGCCTCCGATGACTGAGATGACCTTGCCAATGTCAGGGATGAAGAGCGCCAGCAGCAGGGTGAGCAGGAACCAGACCAGCGTCTGCAGCACTCGCCGCCGCCGCTCCCGCCCCACGTCCTCCTCCACCGGCATCCCCTGGTAGCGCAGCCACAGGCCTTCAACCACCGCCCTGCCCACATGGAGAGGGGCTCAGAGGCGCCCCTGCTAATGGTCCTCCACCTCCAGCCACAGAGCCAGACCCCCAACTGGGTTGACTGTAGGTAAGACTCTAATCCCTGAGCCTCAGTTTCCGCTTCTGTGAAACAGGCCTAGCAGCAGTGTTCTCAGGGTTGCCATGGGGACTGGATAGGATGGTGAAAGCGAAGGGCTTAGTGCCTTGCCTGGCCCCGGACGTGCACACTCCATGGGAGCTGACACCACCAGTCTCCTGAGAAGGGCCTGGGGTACCTGGAAGGCAGAGTGTTCAGGAAAGGATCTGGACTAGAGGTCCTCAGAGGACTCACAGAATATTCTGGTGACTCTGGGACAAAGGGGGCCCCCAAGACCCAGCTGGGGGTACTTGCAGGGCCGTCCAAGGCACTGACTTTCCTATGGGCTTCAGGTTCTCCTTCTATCAAATGGATTCTACATAAGGCCAGAGGACCGTGTTCAAAGGGCTTTCGGGGGCCCTGGGGGCCTTGGTGAGAGGGAGCACCCCAGTGGGGCGGGGAGGAGGCTCACCGCCCACAGAAGTGCAGGATGGGGTAGGAGGTGAGCACGCTCAGGATGATGAAGGCACGGGCAACGGCCACAGCCATGTCCTCCGACGGGTAGGACAGGAGCACGTCGGGGTCCACCGCATCTCCAAAGGTCAGGAAGCCACAGATGCCTGAGAGCAGGGACGAGAAAGTTGGGTTAGAGTGACCGTGGGAGGGTAAGGGGCTGGGTCCACTGCTAGGTCCAACAGCAGACAGGGAGGTGTCAGAGCAGCTCTGGAGGCTTAGACTGAGGCTTGGAGGGGTGTGGAGGCTGGGATCAGAAGCCTTCCTCCCCGACTTCTCACATCCCCAACACGTACCTGATCTTGAACTCACCCTGCAGTTCCTGTCTCAGAGCTTCTGTGCTAACGTTCTGTTGGCCCAGTTCTTCCCTCTGCCACCTCCTCTCCACTCAGGTCTCAGCTCAGATGTCCCCTCCTGAGAGATGGGCTTCCCCACCCAGGACATCCACAATAACCCCTGCCCCCAGGTACTTTCTCACATCATCCTGTTCTGTTTTCTTCACTCCTCTCTCTCTCAATTTTTTTTTACTTGTTTATTGTCTGTCTTCCCAACCAGAACACGAGCCCCGGAGAACGGGGACTCTGCCTATTTGCCTTCTTTGCTCCTGGCTGTGTCCTCAAGAGGCTAGAACAGTACTGGTCCTGAGAACCATCTGTGGAAGGAATCACAAGGACATTCTTCCTGGTCTCCCAGTCCTGCTCCCTCATCCGAGCCCTTCTCTACACAGCACCCAGGGCCACGCCCCTGCTGCAGACGCTTCCTCTCTGGCTCTGCTCCTCGTCTGCCCTTGCTGCTTGCCACTCATCCCCCACTCGCTGCACTCCAGCCACACAGGCCTTCTTCTGTCCCGGCCTCAGAGACTTGGCATTTTCTGGCTCCTCTGTCTGCAACACTCTTCCCCTAGCTCTTCAGGGTCTGGCTTCTCATGGCTTGGGCTTCCCCCAAATGCCACTTCCTCATAGAGGAGCCTCCCAAGACCCACCCTCCAAAGCCAACCCCGCCCAGTCCTACTCACATCTTCCCTGTTTCACCGTGGCACTCACCACTGTCTGGAATTCCTTATTGATTCCTGATTTATTCTTCTAAGACTGTCTCTCCAACTAGACTGTTGATTCCATGAGGGCAGGACCAGGTCTTTCTATCTCTATGGCATTCCCCATGCTGAGAAAAGTTCCTGGGACTTACTAGGCACCCACTGAGAGCTGCTGAATGAATGCATGAACACATCTCTCTCATTTGGGCAGGAAGAGGCCCAAGGTAGCCCAAGTTCAACCCACTGCCTACACAAGCGTTTGACGTGCTGGGAGTGCAGGGCTGTCTCAGGAAAACCTGGGTCAGAGGACTTGGGGACGCAAGAGGGAAAGTGGGAGCACTGTAAGCCCGGCCCTTGAGGGGAGCACTCACCTGTGCCCATGTAGACAGCGAGGGCTATGACCATGGCGGCTGTCACCACCCCGCCCCAGGTCTTCACCTCGGGCTGCCGCATGCTGTTGAAGACGGGCACACTGCTCACGTGGCACTGTCAGGGTGAAGGGCAGGGTCATGGTGGGCAAGTCACCTCACCCCCAGGGATAAGAGGCAAGTCCTGGGACCCCCACTCCATCCTTCCTTCCAGGATCCCCCCAAACTGCCTATGATGTTGATTCCATCCCAGGATGGGGCGTGAGCTAAGGGAGGACAGGGACCTTGCAACTGGCACCTGAAATCCGAAGCAAATGGTGGGCATGGCATTGAACACGGCTATCCAGGAAGCTGGCCTGTGGATAGACATACAAGATGCTGCTGCCTGTGAACTCTTCAGAGTGCCCACCTGCCCCCAGGCCCTTACTCTTCATTCAGCCCACTATGGCCTCCACCAGCCAGCATGCTACACGTTCAGCCCACGGGCATCTGGGAACAGGGTGAGGACACACCTCCTTTTCACAGGTCAGTGAACTGAGGCTCTGGATGGCCCTCCTGGAACCCAAATCCAGAATTTCTGGCCTCTGCACTTGGGCTTTTGCTTTTCTGGTTTGTTCCTTTCCCAAAAAATGAAGCTTTTTTTTAAATGACAAAATTGATTCATCCTCTCATAGAAGATACAGATATTACAGATAAGCACATGTTGAAAAAATGTGCAATTCCACCTTGGTAGTTTCCCCTTGTCTCTGGCTCTCTCTCTTCTCTTTAGTAAAAAGAGATCAGGGCCCCTTGCCTCCTTCCTACAATGACCAGTGAGTCATGTCCCTTGGGGGCCAGTGAGCCTTGAGAAGAGCACCCGTGTGGCCTTTTGATGCCTGACTCAGCACCTCCTGGGGCCCAAGTAGCAGCTTCCACCCCATGTGTCTCCTCGGAGCCCTCACCTACCTGTTCAGGGCATCTGCTGGCGTCATCTCTTTATCGGGCCAGATGTATTTGATGATAATGATGGCAGTGACGTACCAGGTGCCCACGACGCTTAGGAAGCTGCCAGGAAGGATGGATTAGGCGTCCTCCTCCCAGCTGCAGCTGCCTTTGCTCTGATTCCATCCCCAGGGACATCCACCCTTAACTCTAGTGACCACAAGTATCTAATGAACAAATTGGGAGACTATTCCAAACAAAGACTCAAGAAACGCATAAGAAATAAGTTTCAGAGAAACACTCCACAGCTAGGAGGCCAAGTGGGGACCAGACTGACATTTGTGGCCACTGGGAAAGGAGATGGGTCAGTTCCATGGCTCAGAGACCACAGCAGGGGGCTGGGCTTCAAAGCACATCCGCTACTTCAATTAGAGCAGCCCAGATTTGGCAAGGGCTGCAAGAAGGGCCTTTGAGAACTAGGAGATGCTGGTGGTAAAAGGGTTGAAGGCACAAATACTGGAATGTCAACATTAAAGGGAACCTTGGAGACACTGAGTGTGACTCCCTCGATTATGGGTCACAGCAAACAGCTTAGAATCCCACCACTTTTCAGACTCTGAGCCAGGAAGCTAATTCCTTCCCTTCATACCAAGCTGTACGGAAAACGCTGCCAGGCTAACAATCCCAAATGATCAAAATTATCATCCTCCGTGGGAAAGACAAGGCCCAGGCCAGGAGGCTGCCTTCATAATCCTGATTATCACCCGCCCCTGCTTTGACACAGACACTTGGAACTGAATCTCTCACTGATGCAAAGAGCCACTGTCTCCCTTGCTGCTGACACAAAAGGAAGCTTCTATGCTGGAACCCCTGCAAGCCCTGGTGCCCTGCCTTTCCCACCCTTGCTGCCCCAGGAGGCAAGGTGGCATGTAGAAGAGGGGTTCCCCAGCAGCCCTCGGGTCTCCAGCTGCCTGTGATCAAGAGCTTCTGTCCAGTGCAGGCTGGGGTGGGGCCTCCGAACCTGGCATATTTCTGGAAGCCGATCTCCCTGGGGATGGAAAGGGGCAGGATGAAGAGGAAGGCAGTGAGGCTGATGGTGAACTTGCGGTCTGTGTACCAGGGGCTGCCGCTGGCCCCTGCAGGCTCCTTTGCCATCACAGCTATAACTGCATAGGAAGGAAGGAGGGAACGTGATGCCAGGCTACTGCAGGGTGCAGCCCTCCAGCTCTGCAGGGCCTCCATCTCTCTAATGGGCCCAGCAGCCAGCAGGGAGGATTCCCAGATGAGTGCCAGGCCCAGGCTAGGCCTTGGGCAGGTGTTCTGTGCTCTTTTCCTCCCACCCAGGACCCCCAGGGGCCCAGGGGGAGGGATGAGGTAGGTACTGAGGGGGACCTCACTCTTGTCCTGCTGGTCCCCAATGATGATGAGGAAGGCAATGCAGGTCCCGAAGGTGTAGATGGCAATGGCCACCTCGCACAGCACGCCTGTCAGCTTGCCACACACAGCCCACACCACCTCCTGGTAGGTTCTCTCATTGCTGGCCTGGGAGCAGTAGGCCAGGATGACGAGGCCACTGATGATGAAAACCAACATGGCCTGCAGGCAGGGGCAGAGCAAGAGGGTGTGAGAAAGGCCTGGCAGCAAAGAGCAGCCTGGTCTTGCTCAGCATTTACGGGGCCAGTGCCCAAAGTCTGGCGAATGAGCCTCATCTTGCAAGGCAATTTTAATAGATTACTGGAGGCTGCTGAGTTATTCTTTAAAAACAAAGAGTTATGAGAAAAGTGTCAAACATACACAAAAGTAGACAGAATGGTATAATGGACCCCCACGTACCCATCACTCAGCTTCAAAAATCATCAACACATAGCCCATCGTGTTTCATCTAATTCCCTCTCCCACTTCGGATTATCTTGAAGAAAATACAAGCTATTTTATTATTTCATCAGTAAATATTTCAGCATGTAGTTCTAAAAGAAAAGGGCCCACTTTAAAAACATAACCACAAAATTATTAACTAGGCAGTTGATGCCCAAACTTCCTTTACTGCTGGGAAGGCTTCTGAAGCCTCATCTGGGCTCAGAAGAAAGAATGCTGGAATAGATTAGTAAAGTCTGCCAGCATGTGTCACCGACTGACCATTCCTGATCCAAAGCCTCCCTTTTGAGGCAAAGAGCCTAGACCCACCACCCAGACTGCACCACTGCCTTCCAGGCCAGTACACTCACCATCTGCAGCGTGATGCCGGCTGCCACACCCCCTGCAGTGCTGAAGGCTGCTGGGAAGTTGAGCAGCCCTGCGCCCAGGCAGGCATTGACAACGATGAAGATGGCCCCAAGTGTAGAAGTGGTACCTCTGCCCACAACTTCAGGAGAAGCCTCTCCCTCACTCTTGGGGGCCATGTCCACAGAGGGACTCTGCAGCAGACGGGCCCGCTCCCCGGAGTCTGTGCTTAAGCCCCACTCGCCAAGGTCACTGTTGATGCTAAGCTGGGCCATGGCCCTGAGAGTCCTCTTCCTGCAGGTTCTGTGGGTTCTGTCTCACAACCACATCCCCTGGGGAGCTGAGGGAACACGATCAGCTAGGAGGGTGGCACCAGCTCATTTGGAGCTGTTATCCTAGGAGGCCTCGGGGCTCTGTCTCTTCTTAACCTAGATAAGAAAGGCAGGTAATACTGTTATCCAAAGGTGGACACAGAAGGGTGAAACAACTGTCCCAAAATCAGATGGCTGAGATTCAAACCCAGGTGTACCTCTGTGCAGAACACTACACAGGCTGCCACAGTGTGCGATGGCAGAGACAGAAATATGTCAGGTGCAACTCCTGCCTGCATCAGGTTTACAGACCTATCAGGTAAAGAAGACACAAACACAGAAGAGAGAGGTACTAACGTGTCAGCACTAGGGGCCATGCATCAGGCAGGAGTGCCATGGACATACCTTATCTCATTCATTCCTTATGACAGTGGTCACAAGGTTCAGAGAGATCTCACTCATCCAGGGTCAAACAACAGCAAGTTGCAAAACGGGATTTGGATCCAGATCTGTCTGGCTTCCAAACCTGTTTCCATACCACAGGGTTGCAAGAACAGTCCTCACCCAGAACTATGGGTATTTCAATTTCTTACAGCCCAGCATACCTCCCTCCAGCCCAGAGTCTAAATTCTGTGGAGCTTTCAAAGCTCGTCAAAATTTCAGGCCAATTCTCACTCTTCTCCCACGAGACTGCCCATCACACAGGCATCCTCTCTGATGCCCTCAGCACACTGGGAGGTTTAGAATGGCTAATGAGGCCTCTTAGGTAGTCAGGTGCTTCCCAGGGCTCCTCCTGGTGACAGGTGAACAAAGTAGAGGAAAAAGGTGGAGTGTGGGTGCTCTCAGACATCTGTCACCAAGCATGCACCCAAGGGACACCTCTCCAGGGGAAATGTCTCCCTGCTGGCTCCAAGTCCAGAAAGATCAGTCAGACGCCACAGGGCTTCCTGTTATGCAACTTGCCCCCCAGCCAGCAACTCGGCAAAAAATCGAAACAGTGAGTAGTGGGGGCAGTTGTGGGTTCCTGGGATTCTAGCGTAGCTCCAGAGAGAGCCCTGCAAAGTTAGTGCTACCCAAGCTGTGAGACCTTGTCGCCCACCCTGCTCCCATCTTAGACACAGAGGTCTCTGCATTGGTCTGAGATCTCTCAGCAATTCCCTCCCCCACCATGGTCCCCTGCTTACCTGTTCTTTCTAACTGTCCTGCTATGGTGAAGGGAGAGCTACTTCTTGCAGCCCCTTCTCCCCAAAGATCTGGGATGACTCCCTCTCTGACCTTGATTTCTTCTTTCTCAAAACTTTACCTAAAATCTGCTGTTAGCAGAGAGAAGAGTCTGAGCTGTTTCTTTGCTGGTCAGCAGAGTATGGGGAACCAAGGTGCCCTGACTCTAACTCACAGAATGGGGCACCAGTTCAGTTAGGGACACAGGCACACTGAGGGAAAGAGGCTAGATCAATGTCACAGTGGCTAGTTGGCAGAGCCAGAACCAGAAGCCTGATGCCCACATGCTCAGGCCAGAGCTGTAACCACGGCAGCAGACCCCTCAGATCCCAACCAGAGTGGGTTCTCAGGCCAGCCTGGGGCTGGATCCCAGAAATACGAGGGGTAGGCTGCATTGAAAAGTGGGCCAGGGCGCACCCGGGGCGAGGGCAGGTCCCTAGGCCTGAAGCCAGGCCAGTGGGCTGCTGCGGGGTAAACTGGGGAGGGGCTCTGGGACTCAATCCGGGCCTAGGACTAGGTGGAGACAAGCCGGCTAAGGCGCTGCAAGGGCTGGTCGGATCGAATGCGGGCGTGGAGCCGAGGCCGCTGGGCTGCGGAGTCCTGCGAGGAGTGGGCAGGGCTCTACCGCGGTGGGGACCCAGGACCTAACCCTTCTATCCCCCACCAGCCTGTACCTCCTGTCACCTACCTGCGGTTCTTCAAGCCCGAGCCGGCGGCGGAGACACGTGATCAGGGGTCACATGACCGCTGGGGCGTGGGCCGGCCGCGAGACAGGCTGGGAGTTGTAGTTTTCCGCAGGCGTCAATCTTGGACACTGCTTCCCTAATTGTGAACCGGACAGGAATGCCCTGAACCAGCCTCATACTGAGCCCACCCGTGTTTATCCCGTTACTTTCAGTTCTGGCCTCTTGGCCAAGGCCCACACTCCTGCTTCCTCCAAGGAAGAGCATTAGGAAGTTTGGCGCCTTTGCCTGTCTGGATGCCTTGGGCCATAGCTATTTGGCCTCCTTATCCTCTTCTGTCACCCTCCTTACCTTTAGACTGGCAGCCGGTGACCCTGGAGCTTTTCAATGAACACTGAGGGGACGTTTTTACTTCCTTGCGTTGTGGTTGGTCTGAGTGTTGTTCATGGCTATACTCCAGGGCCTAGGTTTTAGAACAGTTTCTGAGGCATTGTCACTCACAGAAATATTTGTTGAATGAAGGACTGGGTGTCCAGAGCCTTGGCTTCTGTTTGTGGCTCTGTGCCACTTGCAAGTTGTCACATAATGTTTGGCATCCCAGTGTCCTCGTCTGTGTTAGGAGAGTGTGCTGTCCGTTCCACCTACCTCTCGATGCATCAAAGGTCCTTGTTGATGAGATCCTGTGCACTATTTCCCCAGGTTCACTCTAGTGACATTTTGCAAAACTATAGTACCATATGACAACCAGGATAGTGACATTGCCAATCCACTGATCACATTCAGATTTCCTTGGTTATATTTGTAGTCATTTTTTGGTGTGTATTAAGTTCTATAGTCCTTAACCACTGTAAGTTTATACATCTACACCACATTCAGCATTCTGAATATTTCCATCACCTCAAGGATCCCTCCTGCTGCCCTTTTATAACCACGCTCACCTCACCCCAGCAAGTCCTCCTTTCTCTAACTCCTGGCAACCACTAATCTGTTCTCCATTTCTAAAAGTTTGTCATTTTAAAAAAATGTTATATAAATGGAGTCATACAATCTGTAACTTTTTAGGATTGGCTACTTTAACTCAGCATAATTGCCAAGGGGCTAATGCAAGTTGTTTTGTATATCAGGGTGTATGTTTTATTTATTACTGAGTAACAATATCCCATGGTATGTGCAGTTTTTGTAAATAATCACTTTTGAAGGACATCTGAGCTGTTTGCAGGTTTTTAAGAACACAAATAGCTTTATTGAGATTTATGAATTTTACCACAAAAGGTAATACTTCTAGTGCCCAATACAGTGATTTTTGGTATATTCAGAGTTTTGCAATCATCACCACTATCTAATTTCAGAACATTGTTATCACTCCCCCAAAACCTCTGTAACCATTAGCAATCACTCTCTATTACTCCCTCTCCTAAGCCCTCGGCAACCACTAATCAACTTTGTGCTCTGGATGAACTGTTTTCAAGGTTTATCCATTCATGTTGAGGCATATTTAGTACTTCATTCTTTTTTATTACTGAGTAATAGTCCATTGCTTGGCTATACCACATTTTGTTTATTCATTCATCAGTTGATTGGACATTTGTGGTTTCCATTTTTTGGCTATTAGGAATAATGCTGCAATGCATGTTTGGGTACATGATTTTGTGTGCACACATTTTTTCATTTATTTTTGGTATATATATAAAAATAGAATTAAAATGGTAATTCTATTTAACCTTTTTTTTTCAGTTTTAGAATTTTGGTATTCCTTGTACACATCATTTTTTAAAAACTGAGTTATAGCCAGTTTACAACGTTGTATCAATTTCTGATGTACAGCACAACTTTTCAGTCATACATGAATATACATATATTCATTTTCATATTCTTTTTCACCGTGTGCTACTACAAGATCCTGAATATATTTCCCTGTGCTATACTGTATAAACTTGTTTATATATTCTATATATACCTCTCAGTATCTCAGTATTTCAGTATTGAACTCCCAGTCTGTCCCTTCCCACCCTCCTCCCCCCGGCAACCACAGGTTTGTATTCTGTCTGTGAGTCTGTTTCTGTTTTATATTTAAGTTCATTTCTTTCTTTTTTTTTTTTAGATTCCACATATGAGTGATATCATATGGTATTTTTCTCTTTCTGGCTTACTTCACTTCACTTAGAATGACATTCTCCAGGGATATCCATGTTGCTGCAAATTATGTTGTCATTTTTAATGGCCGAATAGTATTCTATTGTGTAAATACACCACAACTTCTTTATCCAATCATCTCTTGATGGACATTTAGGCTGTTTCCATGTCTTGGCTATTGTAAATAGTGCTGCTATGAACATTGGGGTGCAGATGTCAGTTTGAAGTAGGGTTCCTTCTGGATATATGCCCCGGAGTGGGATTGCTGGGTCATATGTTAAGTCTATTCCTAGTCTTTTGAGGAATCTCCAAACTGTTTTCCACAATGGCTGCACCAAACTGCTTTCCTACCAAAAGTGTAGGAGGGTTCTCTTTTCTCCACACCCTCTCTAGTATTTATCATTTGTGTACTGTTGAATGACGGCCATTCTGACTGGTGTAAGGTATGTTTAACCTTTTGAGGAATTGCCAGACTGTTTCCCAAAGTAGCTGCACCATTTTACATTATAACCAATAGTGTATAAGGGTTGTCTCTCCACATTCTTGATAACCCTTGTTATTGTCTTTCATTATAGCCATCCTAGTGGCTGTGAAGTGATTTTCACTGTGGTTTTGATTTGCATTTCCCTGATGACTCAAAATGTTAGCATCTGAATCCACC